TTCTCCAATGTTCTTATGATGAATGCCACAGTTTGGCTGACACATTTCTACCCAGAATTGTATGCAAAAAAAGGATGTGTATGTGTATCATCTGGCTTTTGTTTTTGGTGATGGTGGTGGTGGTTCAGTACTGGGGATCAGAACCAGGAGCATTCTACTTTAAGCTACATCCCAATGTTTTTTGTTTGGTTTTGAGAGAGGGGCTTCTTACTAAGTTGCGCAAGCTGGCCTAAATTTGTGATCCTCCTTCCTTAGCCTCCCAAGTCACTGGGATTATTGGCCTAAAAAACCACACCCAGCTCATCTGGCTCTTTGCTTCATCCAGGAAAACCTTCCCCATAAGCTCCCTAGCAAGTGAACTCTCTTTGTCTTACTGGCCAGAATAATCCACTGGCAAAAAGAATGGAAATTACCACAGTTGGCTTAGACCAGAGCATTCTAGCCCAAGAATCTTTCTCTGATATCTCTTCTGGAAGAAACTTTTCCCTCTTGCCTTTTGTTCTCTTTTGTATTTCAGATAGGTTAGATTTTCTAAATAACTTAGTTTCTTATTGAGTCATTAATATTAGGTACTTCAAATCAGCTAATATTTGCTGAAATCTTATTCTATGTCATTTAACTGTGCTAGATTTTAGGATACAGAAATGAAACTATAAGAAGCATTGTTTGATATGGACATAACTTCAACAGAAGAATTATGCCCTAAAGTTCATTTGTATTTTATATCAATATATGTATGTATGTATGTGTGTATGTGTATGTATGTATGTATGTGTCATGTATGTATATGTAGGCATGTTTAATGCCATTATTTTATCTTTGGATTTATGAGAAAAGGCATCTTTAGTTTCAAAATCAAGCTTACTTTCAATTGATAAAAATTAACTTTTGGAACATTTAGAACACAACTTGTTCATGAGTTGATCCTCCGTATCTGTGTTATTTGGGTTCAAATGAATGAATGCTAAAACTAAATTATATTGTTCATTTGAGTTACTTAAAGCAAAAACCATGTTATATTCTCTACAGCATAATGTTTGAGTGTTCTAGTTAACATGCTAAAGATTTTAATAGTACTGTCTTTTGCTTAAGATCCCAACTGAAATGTTTCTAAAATAAAGATGATTTTGTGATTTGGTTCTGATTTTTTTAAAAAAATGGTTATTTGAGTGCAGCTGTAGTGTTAATATAGTAAGCAGTGTTTGTACAGTAGACATACTATTTTTTAGTTGTAGGTGGACACAATACCTTTATTTTATTTTTATGTGGTGCTGAGGATTGAACCCAGTGTCCCATGCATGTAAGGCGAGCACTCTATCTCTGAGCCACAACCCCAACCCAGATGGGGTGCTTTTTATGGGTGTTGAAAGAGAGAAGAAATGAAGTTAGAGATGAGGGAATTGGGAGTGGTAGAAAGGAAAAATGTGCAATCTAATCACTTATTCTGAATGCTAAAAATTCCACTACATTTTGATAACTATTATAAACTCAAAAAGTAATCCTAAGCTTCAGTTTTGATTGATTATATTTATCAAAATCATACTTATGCTGTATTCTTTTGTATTAAGTACATTGTCCTTAATACAGGAATTAATGGTGATATTCTGACACCCCAGAGTTGAAGATAATTATAATTCCCATAATGTGTGTCCTTGATGGGTTCTGGGTTCTGTATGGTGTGGGTATGTGTGGTGTTAGGTATTGAAGCCCAGAGCTTCACACTGAGCAAATGTTCTACCACTGAGCTAGCTGTACCTGCAACCCCTAGTGATCCAAAAGTATCTTGGTGGCTTAAGATTTAAACATTTTAATAATTTTGAAAACCAAGAGGAAAGTCAGGTGTGGTAACACACACCTGTAATTCCCACAGTTTGGGAGGTTGAGGCAAGAGGATCACAACATCAAGGTCAGAGTCAGCAACTTAGTGAGAGCTTTGTTTCAGAATACAAAGGGCTGGGTAGATAGCTCAGTGGTAAAGTGCCTCAATTCAGTCCCCAATACCAAAACAAAACAAAAGATGCGCGCAAAAAACAACCAAGAGGAATGTGTACATCTTGATAGCAGGAACATGTATTTTGTAAAGGAAAATGTGGGAATAAAAATAAAATATGGGAATTGTCTGCTTTTTGTGCAAATAATTAACTTGAGTAAATTCTAATGTTAGCTCTTTGTTATAAAACATTAGAGTATACTTAGGTTTGATTTTCATTTATTTCAAGTCACTAAGAAACTGATATTTGTAAAAGAATTACCTTCTCTTTAATGTGCTTTCTACAGTTAACATGTTTGAAAATTTTAAACATAAAATCTTTAGCATAAAAACACTTATTATGAGAAAAGGCATCTTTAGTTTTAGCATCTGGGGCTGTGGCTTAGCGGTAGAGAGCTTGTCTAGCATGTGCAAGGCACTGGGTTCAATCCTCAGCACCACATAAAAATAATTAAATAAATGTCCAACTACAACTAAAAAAATACTTATTTGGTGTTTGGTTTTAACTGGCATACCTGTGATTGTGGGATATAAGTTTACAATGCTCAGACTGCTGTAAGTTGCCTTGTAAGTTAAGTGGTTGAAGTTGTTTGGAACATTTTGCCTATGTAAATCTTGTTCCCTTCTATATGTGTGCATATTTATAGATTTGTGCTTACAGAACTATGGCACTATATTGCAAAGGTCCTAATCTTTACTGTATTCACACAATTTGTAATATGTAAGAAATTATTTGCAGACCTGTACTGTGAAGTATATCTTTCCTCTGACTTGTTTTGGTTAGCTCTGAATAATGAAGTCAAACCTTACTTGATTTTCCTTAGTGAGTCTTAGGGTCAATTTTCTTTCTTTCTTTATTTTTCCTTTTTTATTAAAAATAAACTTTAGATTTAGGTAGTTATGTGTTGTAACTCAAGGAAACAATATTGTAATGATTAGTGTTGTAATAAACAATGATTGGTAAGTGGTTTACATGTTATTTATCATTTGCTCCATTGGAAGTATCTGATAAAATTAGAATCAGGCCATCTCTGTTGGCTGTCTTTGGTTTTATGCAAATGGATTAATATGAGCTTTGTTTAATGCAGTGATTACTTCCTCTCTCTTTCTGTACACAACCTTAGGGAGGAATGGTGTAGTTGTAGTTGGGAAAAATGGCTTTGGAGGAAAATTTTTATGCTGTTTATAAAGTGGAAACATAATGCCTTTATTTTTTAACTAGTGTGAGGGAAATTCTTAGAGATTATGAATGTCTCAAAAAATAAAACCATGAAGTCTCCAATCCTGCCATCGTGCATTTTTCTTAGTGACAATCTGAGAGTTTTAAAGTCATATAAGTACTCCCCAAAAAAGTTAGAGACCTGGTTAAGTTGTAGGTAACTAGTAACTAGTACACCAGAAGACTGTTAAAGGCTCCTAAATGCAGACAAAGCATTACTAATTGCTTTCAGGGTCAGGCTGACTTTACTTGGACCATGAAAGATTTAGCATAGTCCTATGGCTGCCTGCTTGCTGAGTAAAGAGTCTTGTCTTTAACAAAGACTGCTATCTGATATGCCAGACCGTTTCATGTTGCCCTCGTTTACATGAATTTAGTCATTATTGCCAAGACTACTAAACCTCAGTGCAACATAAATGATACTTCTAAATGGTCTTGAAGACAAAGGCCTTTAACCTTGCAGTGGGATGTAGGTATTGTTTACATAGCTTTTAAAATATGGAACAGAATACTTTGCTATTTGAAGTTTCAATTAAAAGATACATTCAGGAAAAATATTTTTAAAAAATCTACAAGTAAAATACCACACATCTTTAAGTAAAGTAAAATTTCTAATGTTTTCCATCTTTTAGAATGTTTATTCCTTGGAACGGTAGGATCCTAATGACACTATTAACATGGGTCCAATCCCATCAATGCAACTAATTCTTCACACTCATAAATCCTACTATTCTAGGTAGAAGTTAGAATGAAATTAAAACTGGTTAATGAAACTTGATAAAAAGGGGCAAAGGAAATACTAGCTAGATGGTCAAATATGTTTTTGCCCATGTAAGAATATGAATTTTTTATTGTAATACTTATTGAATTGATATTTATTTTACTGTTTATTTTAATACTATTTAGCTAGCCCTTATTATTATTATTTTTGGTACCAGGGATGGAATCCTGGGGGCACTCAACCACTGTGCCACATCCGCAGCCTTTTTTTGTATTTTATTTAGAGACAGGGTCTCACTGAGTTGCTTAAAACCTTTCTAAGTTGCTGAGGCTGGCTTTGAACTCAAGATCCTCCTATCCCAGCCTCCTGAGTCACTGGGATTACAGACATGCACCACTGTGCCTGGCTAGCTAGCATTTACATTCAGTAGTCTTCATTGGTAGGTTTGACTGTTAGTGCAACCAAATGTATTTTTTTAAACGTTTATGTATTTTTTAATTGTAGTTGCACACAATACCTTTATTTATATGTGGTGCTGAGGATCGAACCCTGGGTCTTACACATACTAGGCAAGTGCTCTACCACTGAGCCATAACTCCAGCCCCTGTATTTTTTAAAAATTTTTTTCTTTTTAGTTATACATGTCAGTAGAAGGTAGTTTGGAAAATTATACATTCATAAAATATAACTTATTCTATTTAGGATCCTATTCTGTGGTTGTATATGATGCAGAGTTACTCTGGTCGTGTATTCAAACACAAGGCTAGGAAAGTTATTGTGTTTTTTTTTTAAATGATGAAATTTTTGTTTCTCAAAACTATAACATGGAAATTTTATAGGTGACATCTTTTTTTTCCCACAAAACTAACTTTATATGCTTCATTATTCAGAGGTTGGGAAAATAATAAAAGTGATGGGTTTCTAAACAACTGGAACTTTTCATTGTCTTTACTTTGAAAATGTGTTATTTTACATATGAAATATTTTTAGTATTGCTTTAACATGTGTTAGAAAATTCTGACAAATAAAAGTTCTTTCTATCTTAAGTTTAAGTTCTTTTTCCCCCCCAGATTTATGAAAATATGCATCAGCTTAATACTGTCTTGGAATTCATGAGATGGAAGCATAGGTCAAAGCTATTTGGAGAGAATTGGAAGTACAGTTTTATAGCTACATCTCTAAGGTAAGGAAAAGATTTTAAAGAAAATAATAGAGTAACATGAAAATTTTTCTTTCTTAACAATTGAAAATAGTCCTTCCGTATTACCACTGCAACTTTATTTGAGCTTCTTTATTTTATTGGTAACACCACAACTTTGTGTTAGCTACATTAGTTTCTTAAATCACCTTCTTTATGAGTTCATACGTAATTCTTATGTATTTTTCTTCTCTTGTAAATATCGAACTTTTTCAGGAGTGAAAATATTTCTTAACAATACCACTTTCTTAACTAATTATAGAAAGTAAGTATTATTTCTTCCTTCAGGATTTTATTTCTTCCCATAAAGACTGGAAAGCATAGTTCAGAATGGAAAACTATATTAAAAATTATGTTTACATTATTTTGAAATTTTAACACATTTTACAGTTAAGATTTTAAATATCTTAGAATAATAGATCTTTGGAAGTAAAATTTAGTTTAAAGAAGTAGAAACTGTAGTAATGCCAGAAATAGGAAAGAAATCATTCTAAGACAATATTTGGAGGAATTAGCTCATTGCTTTGAGATTCTTTTAGAGCTGGATGTGATGGAGCATACTTGTAATTCCAGCTACTTTAAAGGCTGAGGCAGGAGGATCTCAGTTTCAAGGCCAGCCTGGCCTCAAATGTTTCCCCTTCTGTTAATGATCTCTTTATCACCCAAGAAAAGTTTTAGTGTTATATCTGATTCCTCATGTTTTGCATCTTATACCTTGTCAGAGATCAACTCCTGTTAGTTTATCTCTATAGCATATCATGAATATTTTTATCACCTATTTTCAGATTCCTAATCACCATCCAGGTTTAGGGCCTTACATGACATTATACTGGAAATATTGCAGGGCTTTCCTATTTGTACTAACCTATTAATCAATCCACTCTAGCATTCTTATCTTAGTAGTCACAATACTGTTTCCCAAAGCATGCTGAATGTACTGTACTGTTGGTAGCATTCAAAACGATTTTTTTTTTGTGTGTGTGTGTGTGTATGTGTGTACCGGGGATTGAAGTCAGGGGCACTTAACCATCAAGCCACATCCCCAGGCTCCTCCCCTCCCCCCTTGTATTTTATTTAGAGATGGGGTCTCACTGAGTTGCTTAGGAACTTGCTAAGTTGCTGAGGCTGGCTTTGAACTCATGATTCTCCTGACTTAGTCTCCTGAGCCGCTGGAATTATAAGCGTGTGCCACTGTGCCTGGCCAGGTTTTAGTTTTATACAGGTGAATTTTTAAAGATTTTGTGTTGGGTGTGGTGGTACATGCCTATAATCCCAGCAATTTGAGAGACTGAAGCAGGAGAATTGCAAGTTTAAAACCAGCCTTAGCAACTTAGTGAGACCCTAAGCAACTTGGTGAGACTCTCAGAATAAAAAAAGGATGAGGATGTTGCTCACTGGTTAAGTGCCCATGGGTTCAATCCCTAGTACTAGAGGAAGAAAAAAGTACTAGCGGAAGAAAAAGATTTTAATAGGCACATGTCTGTTTTGATAACCACCTACTCACTACTCACTTACAAACAGTAAAAGTAACAGTACTTTGCCCTTTCTCTGTTTTGAGCTATGGTTCAGAAACTTGAGTTAAAATCTTACCTGTAGTTCATGTATGTAACTAACTTAATTTGTTCTCCATAAAGCCCCTCAGATGATTCATTTTAATCTCCCTTTTTTTTTTTTTTGTTACAAAGATTGAACCCAGGGGTGCTCAACCACTGAGCCACTTCCCCAACCCTTTTTTCTTTTTCTTTTGAGACAGGGCCTTGCTAAATTGCTAAAGCCAGCTTTGAACTTGTGAGCCTTCTACCTCAGCCTCCCAAGCCAATGGGATTATAAACATGTGCCATCAGGCTGGGCTTCTCCTTTGTTTCTGTTTTATTTATTTATTTATTTATTTATATATATTTTTAGTTGTAGATGGACACTATATCTTTAATTTTTAGGTAGTGCTGAGGATCGAACCCAGTGCCTCGTATATGTGAGGCAAGCACTCGACCACTGAGCTTCAGCCCAGCCTTTCCTTTGTTTTTGACCCTTACTTCTGTTTTCCTCTCTTTATGCCGTTGGACAGCACTTTAATTTGTGTCTCACATATGTCAGGTAAGCGCTCTACAACCGAGCCAAAACCCCCCCCAAACCCTTAAGAAGTTTTAATACTAAAAAAACTCTGTATATTACTGTATATACATTTGTTCATTGCTTCTGACATTAGTGTCCCATAACGTACAGAACCATGTTTTTACCATTTTAGAGTCACTCTACTCTGTTCAAAAGCAAGGCAATAGAGCCAGCTTGCTTCAGTTTGAATCCTGACTTTACTACTACTTCTTAGCTAGAGAAAAGGACTTATAAATGGGTAGTTTATTTGAGAAATGAAACAAAAAGAGGAAATGGGAGAAAAGGAAAAATGGACAGAGAAGATGGTAAATGTATATATTGTGTGTTATGAGTTAGTTACCACTATGGGAAACTGGATCTCAGTCCTCTGAGAACCCTCTGAATGTACCTTATAGTCTTGCCCTACCAAAAGACTGTGTTATACCTCGAATGTTACGTGTTGTTCATTAAGGGTTCTTTTAGAGCGCTAGCACTGGCATTTCTGTCGCTGTACCTCTAGACTGCACAGTACTCTTTAGGTTTGGAGAAGTCTGAGGAGTAAAGTGAGCCATGCTTTATAATCTGGATGGTGTCTCTTGTTGGACAGTGTAGAACTGCCCACCAGAGCGGCAGTGACAAAATGGAGGTGGAGAGGATGTGACACTGGATGGTGTCTCTTGTTGGACAGTGTAAAATTGCCCACCAGAGCTGCAGTGACAAAATGGAGGTGGAGAGGATGTGTTGAAGAATACCAACAAGTATCTGCTAGAGTCTCCACTGTTTATCCCTCAGACTACCTTTGCCACATTAAATCTACCTTATCATCTACCTTCGAAGTGGTGGTTTGTTATAATCACTTAAGAAATATCCAAAACAAGAAGGTTACTGGAATAAACTATAATTTCCACTACTGCAGCTGATCCAGAGGCTTATAATTGATACTCAAACCATGAGATACTCCGTAAGCCTTCACTTCAGATGGAGATGCTGGCAATAGGATGTACTCTGGGCAGGGAAGGCAAATACACATCTGGATTAAGAGTTTTTTCTGCACTGAGAATACGTTAGTTAACACTCAACAGCAGCAGTAATTACGTCAGCCTTCATAAAAAGGAGCCTGTGATGTTGAGTCTAGGTAAAACCTTCCTCCTTCTGTTAGTATGACTGCTGCATTCATGGACCCATGCTCTAGTATTGAGGTGACCAAGACAGAAACTGACTGGCTGATAGCATTGATGATGAATCATCTATCTGTGGTTGCCTATAGTTAAATGCCTCTACTGTGACTGGTGCTTTGTGGTGGTGGCATCTTGGGCTGACTCCTACAGGGCCATTCAACATGGATTTTCTCTACGATCTTGTTTCTTATTTTCATATTCTCCCAATCAGCCAGACCATTCTCTACTGCCCAGGAACCTATGTATTTTTTTCTTTGGTTTCTTCTCCCTTTACAGTACTCACTCTCTCCGTAATGTCTTTCAGAGCCTTGTGAGTAGACTGTTGAACAGTAGCAGTCTTCTTTTTGGCTTGTATCTGTTAACTAGGTCCCAGACTTTTTTCCCCATTATTGCTTACTGGGAACTTACTATAAAGTTATTGGTATGAGCATAAATTAGAGACATCAGTGTGGTAGAAATAGGTAATATGAAGTTCTGAGCCATCTCTTGGAGTTTATTAGTGTCCTGTGGACCTGCCTAGGCCTTATTCCAAGTACTGTGTCCACTATACAGTGATTGCTGCTAAACCTGGCCTTTTAACTTGGTGGCTCATGATGGTAGCTCCAGTCACAAAATCTTTTTTTTTTAATATTTATTTTTTAGTTGTAGTTGGACACAATACCTCTGTTTCACTTACTTATTTTTTCTGTGGTGCTGAGGATTGAACCCAGGGTCTCGCATTTGTGAGGTGAGCTCTCTACTGCAAGCCACAACCCCTGCCCTCCAGTCACAAAATCTTTGTAATGTTTTTTTTTTTATTTGGGTTCTTTATGAGGCCCATCATCATGTCAAGAGCTGCTTTTCCAACAGTGTTATAAAAGGGCTATCTTTGCTTCAGAAAATCTAGAGGTTGTTCTGCAACTCTCCCATAGGAACTGGCCAGAAAACCCACATAACAACCCATATTGTACTTCTAGTGCCTTTGAATCTGTTTGGCCTGAACATTGGGGTAGTTTGCTCAGTTTAATTTGCTGAGAGCCTTTTCTCCTCTTGGTCCTAGTCAAAACAAGCAGCTTCTGAGTCACCTAATGTCTTGTGTTAGTTCTGCCTAGGTAGTTCTAGTCTTAAGCTTACACTTCCTGCTGGTTATTGAGTTCCCTTTAAAGGAGTTCTGTGAGTTTTATGCCCATTCCTAGGATTTTTGGGCTACCTTTGCACTTACTTAGTTCTGACTACAGATACCTCTTTTCTAGTAGATATTGGAAGGAAGGGTTCTTTCTCCTGTGTACTGACAACAAAGGAGCCAGCAAACATCCATTTCTTGAGGCTCTAGGACAGGTTCTGAGTGTTTCCAGGCACTCCTACATGCAAGATTCTTCAGCAGTGTAGTCTGTGAGGGTTGCCTTTAGGTCTGCTGAGATGAGCCTTTTGAGGGCCTTGAATGCAGCTAAGCAGTGTATCCCTGGTCTTATAGAAAGATGAGTATGTCTTTACTATATTGGTTTCTCCTTGATTTACCTGCACACTCACTCCTGTGGAGAAACATGGAACTCACAGTTTCAGAAACATCATCTCACCTCTTTAATTATTGTGCTTTTCCAGAAAGGGAGATAGAGAGAAGTTTTTTCCTACTCTCTTCCATTCAGATTGCATCCTTATAACTTTAAAGTTTTAAAGATACCATTATAGTTTTTTCTTTAAGTTTGGTGAATATGCTTCTGATATACTTATTTGATT